ATATATGCCTCATTTATCGCGCTTCTTTCGTCTCATCAAGGCTTAAAGATCGAGATATACTGCACACTTATCGCGCTTTTTTTAGTTTTTGAGGTCTGTGGTTACATTCACCGTTTTCACGTAGACTTAAGGGTCTGTTTACATGGAGTGGGGAACCCCGGTCTAGTGGGGTTAGTTTCTTTTGTTTCGCTCTGGGGGACATAAAACAAGAGAAACCTACCCACTAGACCGGGGTCCCCCACTCCATGTAAACAGGGTCTTAAATGCATCTTGTTTACCCCCACAATTTTGTATAACCATTGTTACCAATTTCTCCTGGGTATTACAGCTGTCCCAAGAGAAATCGAAGACGATGGTTATGCAAAATTTTGGGGGACGAACAAGGTGCATTATGGTGTATGGGAAAATAGTGAATTGTATCATTTGTGTTTATTACTCAACAACGCTATTTAGGGATTTTAGGTAGTTACTTGGTGTTTGCGGACGAGTGCAATCACCAAATGACGTCATACAAAAGATTGAAAAGACAGTGAACAGTACCCACACCACAACACAAAAGCCAACCAGCAACAGATCCCACAACACCAACTTTGGGTTTTAAGCCCCGTGCAAACGGACGCAACGTTGTTGGCCAACAACTCCCAACATTTTTGGATGTTACATGTTGCGTCCGTTTGCACATTCTGTTGCATGTTGTTGAATGTTGTTGCGCAAAGTTTGAAACCGGTCAAACTATTCAGCCAACAACTCCCGTACCTGTACTCCTGTACCGTCATCGCCGAAGCGTGGCGCAACAATGTTGGATCCGTTTGCACAGCTCTTCCAACATTGTTGGGGCCACGCACGCTCATTACGCATGAGTTACAAAGACTTATAGGTTGTATCCTTCCCACGATGCACTGCAGGTCCCAACATTGTTGGGAGTTGTTGCATCCGTATGCACACCACTGCCAACACGTACGAAACAACTCCCAACATTGTTGGCGCAACAATGTTGGGAGTTGTTGCGTCCGTTTGCACTCAGCCTTACGCTGATTAAAGAAGGGTTCAGGGTGATTTGATACTTGGTTCCTTTTCATGTAGGTCAGCACACTGGTAGAAAACAATGAACGTATTTACGACACAAGGCACGGAGGATTTGTTCAATTCAAGGATAGGCAAGGTACGGACCTAATTAGGCTTGTCTTTGTACGGAAAATACTGGCTTTAAAACACATCTCTAGAAACCAACTTGCACACTATCTCGAATTCTGTTGCCTGATTGGCTAATGTACCCCATTATTCATTTCAGTAGCGAGGAGTGATGCGGCCTTTTAAGTAAAAACAAACAATGGCAAATTTCTTCAACAATTTATTTTTGCGATGTTTCTGATGATGAAGCGGATAAACTAATCAATAATGCTATCTCTAAAAATAACTAAAGCTGTTACAAACGACGGAATGAAAATTCTTAATGGTACAAAGTGCATATATTACTAATTTCTTTGTGAAAAACAAACAACGCTTTCGGGAGTTGAATTTGTGTAAACAAAGGCTTTTTTACATGCTTTCATCAAGACTTTGTGTAGAGTTGAAGGCAGTATGCTACTTAGTTTCCACTAAAACAATTAGGCTGCTCGCTCTCCTTTTCTACGAGTGAAATAGTCAACGAGGCGCGTACTTACTCAGAGGACTCAAGCTATTCGTCTGATTATTGTTAGATAGTTCTCGTTCCATTGTAAGCTTTGCTCCACTGAGATTTCATTTGCTTAAAAGAAATGTTAAATCCCCTCTTTAGGTCAAGGCAGGTACCGTCGTCAAAATCAGCAGCATTTTGACAGACAAGACAGGCCTGAAAAACAGGACAGAGGGGATCGGTACAATTGGCAAGAGAGATATGGACGGCAATATGACAGATCTTACCAGCAACAGCAATCACAAGCATCTTACTGATATAAAAACACCAGTCAATAAACCTTGGGAACTCCTGAAATATTTGTCTTAGACACGGCTGTGCTTTGCGATAACTGCAGGAAGCCTTAAGTATCACAATCTATAAATCTATGATGCCAAGCCTATTGAGTATTTAGAAAAAGCGTTAGGGTCATCACACACCGTCACGCTCCTTGGTGGGAAGGAGTGTTGCGTGATGACCCTAATGACGGCTGCGAAGCTACATTGTAGAAGGAGACTATATGCTTGCCTGCGTGACAGTACCGAGGGAATGCTTGGTGTAACATCACACCCCTCTGGTATAAAGAATTTAGGTTTCCTGAGCAACACCGAGTTTGAGGGTACATTGGTCTGCCGGCATGGGTGACAACCTGTCATACTGCGGCATGACTACATCCTAGCCTACACGCAGACGTTCTTAGCGCTTCGTCACGCGTTCCTTTCCGATTGAAAATATCACCGTTGCTATGGCTACATAATAAATCGCGCCTTTCGCAGGAAAAAACTGTTTCAGTGAAATCATTTGGTATTTCATTGGTGTCGCTGCGCTCACTCGTGAAATATTTTTCAACACCCGAAGAGAAATTTCGTATCTCCGCGTGGCCATGTAATATCCTCTATCATCTCGGGTTACTCTATCTATAAACCATGAAATTCGAATACTGTAAGTCCTCTATAAGCCCCCCTTTCAAATAAGCCCTCCCTGTGTAATTCCTCCCCCTCCCTCCCCTTCCTCTCCTACCCATGGTTTTTCTATTACCTCTCTTTGTCTTTAATCCCCCGATTTCCTCTCTACATTTTTTATTCATTGCTTATTTTTCACCTTTTTAATTTAGTCTGTATA